AAGTCCGTGCTCTGAATTCCATGGTTGCTTCGCTCTTCCTCACAAACCTATGAAGTTCAAAGTGTGATTATTTACATGGTATGGATGAGGATATTTAAGCAAAGAACAGTCAGGAGGTGTGTGTAATTTTCACAGTACAAGGGTTAGTAGTCATGATGTGGAGATTGTAGAGTGGTAATGCATGCTGCATGCAGCTGCAAGGGTAGTCCCATGACACGACACGGCCTACTTAGTGCTTTATAATTCAGATCTACTAAGTTGAATTTTTATGCATTACAATTTTTGTAGACAAGTAGTATTCTACCTCATAATTTTGGGTGGAAAACATTTTCATCTATGTGCAAAGCTTCCTTCTAGAAACCAGTGGCAATTGTGAACAAAGATTTAGAGGTCCTCAGGAGATGTGTGGTCACTGCCTGCATCTCTGCACTGCACGGCCCTGCCCCACAACCGGTCACGTTTGATGAGTGCAGCCTCATCTGTACGTTATTATGAAAAAAGAAAAACCCTTGTTCTGATGTCCTGAGGAAAAGTCAGTGACACTGGCCTGACAGTTACGTGATCACAGTATGTTTTTCCTAAAAACAGTACCTCAAACACAACCACATCGTACAGCAACTTATGTTAGAGATGGAATTAATACTAATTTTGAACTATTTAGTTGTCCCCTTTTAATCTAACATTTAATGAAGTGAAAGCAAATAATTGATGAAATATAAAATATAAGCCAAGTATGTAAAATACAAGGTGTAAAATGGCAAGGGTGCATTATACAAATAGAAAAAATAGCATGCAGGATTGCTCTGAGAACATTTTAAGACCTTGCAGTATCTCACAAGATACATTTGATCCTGATAGCTGCCTCTGGACCTACAGTTCTAAAGGCATCTTGTCTTAACTTTGGCATTCCTAGCTGCTAGAAGAATGATGTCACCACAGTCTTTTCCACACGTGTTTTCAGGAGAGACACATTTACTCTGTCCATGACACTTCCTACACCCACCGCCAGCGGAGGCATTTCTTTTCCTATTGCTGACACAAGTGCCACTTCTGCACCGGACTACACAGTTCTGTACATGTGCTCTACTCTTTGTCACAGCATGGAGGTGTCACAGACAAAGTCCCTGTGATCCTATAAATCCGGTGTATGATTTCACCGAGACTGGTCAAAACATTTATTTTGAAGCTATAACTCTGAAACACTTAAAATCCAGGTTTCAATAAAACACCAAAAACACCAACAGTTTTCGTTCACAGTGCACGAACCTGCACCTGGGAGCCTCACAAATTAGATTCTGAGGAGAGCGAGTCTCATCTGCACTTACTAATGCAGCTCATGTTTCAGGAGTTTTCTTCTCTTCTACAAGTACTGGGCAGTGGGGCCAGTTCACATTCAGAAGAACCACTTTCCCCAGTGTGCTCACTTTTCGAGACTGCGGCTCCATCTCACCCCCAGAATCTCCCTCAGAAGCTGAAGTGGGACAGGCTCACCTGCCTCCTGCCCATGGACTTGAATGGGCTGATGTGTGACACTTCTGTCAGTCAACGTGTGTGTGGAGGGGAGAAGAATCCAGATGGTGAGCATGAGTTTGTGAGCCTGTGACCTCTGACACATTCAGCAGCATCTCAGTCCACCTGAACCATCACAGCACATGCTCTTGAGAAGACAAGAGTACACTGAGTTTCACCTTCCACTTTTTACACTTTTATTTTCCATGCAATTGTAAGATGTTTAATGTAATGTAGGTATCTCTTGTTATACATGCTACCATATATGTTTTCCATATAGGTGGGAACAAACAATAAAACAAATGCAATAAATGCAATAAAGGGAGCAGATGCAATAAAGGCAGAAAATGCCATAAAGGCAGCAAATGCAATAAAGGCAACAGATGCAAAATGTAATAAAGCTTATTTAAGCAAGAGTAAAGTTCTAGAATTGGGCAGGATTCCAGGAAGTCCTGGTGATCTACCACAAGGCACATTTTAGACTGACCCATCCCAGCACTTGCATATATTGCTTTTATAGTCATAGAAAAGGAAGCAATATACAGAAATAAGCTTTGAGAGCTAATCTTCTATGGAGATATGAAAAATCAGAACAGTCCCAATTCAAGATTCCCGGGTCACGCAGGACTTTAGGCAGAAGAAGCCGTGGCAGCGTCTGGCCCAGAACCGCAGAGACGTCTGTGTACAGGGAGAGTCAGGCAGCGCTAACGAGGGGTGAGGCGGGCACAGAGGCAGGTGATCTCACTCACTGTGCTGAGCGGTAGCACCTTCCCTGGCTGACTTCGTGTCAGGGCCAGCCCCATAGACACTGGGGCTCAGGCTGGCAAATGATTCAGTTCCCAAAGCCTCCCTAGTCCAGAGCTTGGTGATTTGATTTCTCCTCAACCTAAGCGGCATCCCAGGGTTAGGCTGATGCTTGGACTTTTCATTATAATCCAGGGTACACAGACAAGAAAGATCTAGGACGGTGGTGGCGAACATTTTAGAGCTTCCAATGAACCCAACAACTTGCGGCAGCACACGTGTCATGGGTTCACCACCATTGCTCCAGACTGATTATCCATAGCCTGGCATGGCCCACACACTACTGAACATTGAAATGTGAGCAGGGTGTGCTATGTCCTTGACTTACTGCAGCACCAGCCACTCAGACCGAAAACCTCTGAAGCAGTGATGTGCTCACACGTTGCCATCTATAATCTAACCAGTGGGCCAAGATATAGATTGAGGAACCGTAGACTCTGGGGCCCTAGACTGTCCTGAGTTAAATTAATCAAGGAGAATAAACCTGAAGTGACGCTAGTTGCTTCCCCAAAATGTAGCATTGAAGAGCAGAAGTGCATGCTGGGAGGGATGCTACGTTGTGTGTAGTACAGGTAGGGCCAGTCTCATGCTCAGCTGAGGTGCTCAGAGTGGGAGCAATGACAGAGTGTGGTGTGCAGGTGAGCCTGTGGGTGATGACAAGGTAGTGATATGTGCAGGATCAGCATCGAGGGCTGAGACTGAAAGTTAGTATGAGGTATATTTAGAACTACAAAACCCAAATCGATTTCATGAGGTATTTGTGTAGAGTGCAAATAACAACAGTCTAACACCTACCTCCTATAGATCTCAACATGACACAGGCATCTAAACTCAACATCCTGCAGATGCCTGGGTTTCTTCTCTCCCCCAAATCCTAAGTGTGTCCAGATCATTCAAAAAAACTGCTAAGGGAAAACAGAGAGCTCTGCAGTACAAAGGGAGTGACTCATTTAAATAAGCAGGTCACTAGCAAGGCATATTTATCTTCAGTTTCTAGCAAGTTACTGGAACTTGGACATGGCCATGAGAGAGGATTGTTTAACCCCAGACACTGTGTCCGTATGGGACTCCGTCACACTCCCTCTTTTAGGTAAGCGGAAGTGTGATCTCAGAGTTCACTCAGGTAGCTGAATTCAGTCCCGTGTCTCACAAATTCAGTTACAGTTCCAAGAGGGAGAGGCTCTCTCTACAACCTCAAGCACTACCTGGAACAGAGAATCTTCTGTTGTGCTGGAGGATTCTCCTCGCTGCTATCAAAGCTCAGAAAGAGTCCTTCTTTTTCCCTTTGTCTCTTCATCCCATCCTGGTCACTAAGACTGTGTCATGTGACTGTCCAGGCTTTTCCACTCCCAACACTGACAGGGACAATGGAAGAGGCCAGAATGAGCTGCCCTCGCTGATTTGTGTCTCAAATACAGCTGTTCAAGTGAGCAGGGCACAGTCTTTCTACATGTGCTGTGTGCAAACCTGCCCCAACTCTGACTCAGTGATTTTTTTATGATATTGCCTGTTTTTTGCCAGAAAGAGACAGACAGACAGACAGAGGTGATAATCAATGTTCAAGATATTTTGCTTCACAACTGCACTTAAAATGATATTCTGGATCACTGCTGACATGATTTATAAGGAGATCTGAGAAACTCTCAACCATTTTCTTCCTAATGCAGATCCTGTTTATCTTGTATGTCAGAAATCATTGATCCTGTGAGTACAAATGACCTGCTGAATATTTAGACTCATAAATGGCCCAGGGTATTTTGGACCAGGAGAGAGGTAGAGGGTAAGTGAAGCTACCGGAGACTGGCACACCTGGGACATTTTTACCTGTGTGGTCAAAACCTCCATCCACTTAAAACATAAAAAATCTGGGTATAGAACAGCATACTAAACCTGGTCTTTTATAGAGTCATAACCCACATTTTTATTGTTTCTTTTCTAATATTTCAAGTTTTCCTTTATTTTCGCCCTTTAATAAATGAAATCTTAATGTCTTATAAACTTTTGAGAAAATCTGATTAATGCCATAACTGAACCACCAGGATTAAATAAGTCACTGCTTTTGATACAGATGATTTCTGGCCTAACTCTGCCTCATCTAGTTCTGGATGAATACAGAAACTCTTAGTAAACTGCTGCTCACAATATTAACTATAAAAGGTGATATGCTGTTCAATAAACCCAGAACACTGTTGCTATAACCTAG